GAATAGGTGGTCTGACGCTGGTAATATGTTCTGATGGAATGCTCAGCAGACTCTAGAGAATCGAAAAATATCGATTGGGGCTTCCCTTCCCTTCGGAAGGGCAGGGTAGGCTCAAAATTTCGAAAAATTACCAAAAATCACTATTTTACAGCAATAACAGGGCAGAAACCCTCTTTTACCACTAAACCACGATAATATTCGGAAAGCTCGCAAAAAAGCCTAGTTACGCGTAGAACATTCCAACTACATAAAACCGCCTCTTCTGTCCCAAATCGAGGTCGATCGTTCAAAAAATCGTGTTCCTGCAAGTATTCAATTATTTCTAACTGCTTCTAAGGCACCAGCGCAGGTACGGGTTTTTTTGCTATAATGTAGCACCTGGTCTCTAGTTTTATTTAGCATATAACAGGTTTCTCTTATATGGCACAGAATTGGCATTAGGGAGGTGATATTGACGAAAAAGGGTGAAAAAATCGCACAATCACACCACAACTGCCCAAATCAAGGCAGTGCACCTACTTCTTGACCAAAAACGATTGCATTTTCGAATTCCTCGTCAAAAAGAAGTCTGAGAAGGATCGGTCTAAAATTTGTTTTAAACTTTACCATCACTTACTATAGTTTTGAAAGTTTATACCACACTTTTCATAGTGTAAAAATGTCAGAAAAGTGCTATAGTCATTTTTTTCGCAAAATATCGGCCACGCTAATTTTTCATCAGGTGGGGAAGGTCACCCTAATTTTTCGGCTTTGCGAGTTTTTGGCCATAGCAAGTTTATACACCAAGTTTGAGCGAAATCGGAGAGGTCAAATCCACTTGAATTGAATCCCACCATATCGTATAAACGCTTACCGTACGTCTAAGTACTGAGTGTATGTGTGAGTACAGCCAGCACTCACACGATATGGTGTGATTCAGATGCACATCGGTTTTTTCGGCTTACCATAAATCATGAACACATAACTTACACACTACACGATTGCTGTACTCGGGAATGGTGTCACGAGATTTTATGAGAAGTATTCAAAATTACCATGGAAAGCGGCATAATGAAGAGGTGTATTCTTCGAATCATTTTCAATATCAACTTCGGCTCCATCGTCGATGAGTTTTTGAGCTTCCTTCACATTACCTGAAAAATAATGCAGACCAATGAAGTAGATTGAACAAAGCATTTTTTTAAAACATAAATACTCGAAATTACCAGTCTGAGCAGCTTTATGCAGATCTCCATTCATGTCTTTTCCGTTTTTTAGAAGTTGAAAAAATAGAAGATCAGTGAAGTGAATCGGAAGAAAATGTTGCATACAGTGACGCAGTGTGCTGTGTGAGTGAAACTTGATAAAGAAATGGAGCTTCAATCTTACCGTTTCTCCCAGATGGTGCTCCACTCACATCCACGATCAGAAACTGTGCAAATGAAACAAAGTGATTAAATTGGAATGGATCAATGGATGAGATTGTAATGGTTTTCAACTGTTTTTCATTCGTTTTTTTTAGTGGAAGATTTTTTTCAATTGAAAAAATTTAAAATGGACATTTTTACTTTTCCATACACACCGTGTCAAGGGAAAGTATAGGTATTGGTCCCGAAAACTTTTTTCACAAAATTAGCTTAGATCATCATAAAAACTCATGAAACGCGCAGAAAACACATTTTTGAGACACTTTTCCGTTCGTGTGCTGTCATTAGCTTTAGATTATTTAGGTGGTGTTTGCGCTCAATATCAGTTGTCAAATTAAAAACGAATAGGAGAGTTGGACGAATACCTCCCATACAAAATATCGAAATTTCGACTGAAATTACTGATTTTTTGACAATTTTGTATGGGAGGTACCCGTAAATCGACTCCGATTGGCTTCAAACTTTCTGAGGTTTCATTTTTTGGAGAAAAAATAATATTCTGAATGTTTCACGTTGATCGTGTCTTCACAGGTTTGGTTTTGGTCCTCAATTTTTGTCGAATTTTCCTCGAAACAATTTTTGTATGGGAGGTACCTGTAAATCGATTCGGATTGACTTCAAACTTTCAGATCCTTATTTTTCGCCAAAAAATGAAATCTCAGAAAGTTTGAGGCCAATCAGAATCGATTTATAGGTACCTCCCATACAAAAATTGTCGAAATTTCGACTAAAATGACCGATTTTTCACTTGAAGTATGTCTTTTTTCCAAAATATGCGATAAAAAGTACATACAAAATGTAAAAGATTCGATCCAAAATTTACAAGTGAAAAAAACTCCAAGCAAAATTAAAATTACAAATTTCAGACTAAAATTTTCGTCTCACCTCCGATACCACCAAGCCAACGAGCAGCAGTGTGAAAGATCTTTGACCCAGCATTTTTCCAGCTTCGAACTATCAAAAACGTACTGTGAACGTGTCAATTGAAGAAAATTGACGAACTGTTTGATTGACAAACGAATCGAGCGCATCTTCTTATATACTTTTCAAGTATAGTCACATCAGCAATACAATGATATTAGTTTATCCACATACAAAGACAATTCTAATGAAAGCTCACAAAATATTATCGCACACATTTTTCAAGAAAACAATGTCAAACAATTAATGGAATTACAATTCCACCTGTGCACGTGTCGATAATTTTGGTTTCCACATCATATAGATCGCATCGAAAATGCTAGAGGTTTACATTCAGTCCTTCACTACCTTCACTATGGTTTGAGAAACAATCCAATTGGATCATGCAAATTAAACTGCAAATTCAATGTAAATATTCAAAAAGTAAATATATTTCACCCTTGAAGTGTTGAGTGGTGTACAATTGACAAAGCTATCTGAATATGAAAATGTTTACATCTTCTCGGTATGTACAAAACACACTCTGTTCCAAAGTCGTTTCAAAGTTAAACAAGGCCGCGTCGCTCCGCTCCGCTCTTATTTTGTCTCATATATATTATTTTCAGTTTGTTGTTGTACAACAAACTAAGGTGTAAAAGGCACTACATGAAATGTAGAGCTTCAATCAACTTTTACTTTTTAAATTTATTTTATATGCGGGATTGATTGTATAATTAATCCTTACTTTTGCGTATTTGTGCAATGGAAGTTTAGAACTTGTATCTAAAATCATTAGAAATCGAAACAATTTTGGAGAAGACAATTTGAAATGACAAAGAAACAGTAATTATTACATTTCATGACCTACATCATAGTGCCCGATATGTTTCGGTTTGGTGTTTTTTTTTCGAAATTGTTTTTTTCAACATGGTTTCCTCATACTAATAAGTGTTATAACACGATGGCCGACCATGATGGCCTTTTTTCATCTCCGTTCCAAGGCCTCTAATATGATACCCATATTGACTATTCGTATGAGAAAATGGTGTTACTCAACAAAATCCGTCGCACAGAAAGCAGTTGTGCAGCCGTGCTGTTTGCACTTCGGCGTTGTTCGCTTATACATCGCCCGTTCATCGTGTTTCTTATGCGCCGAACGCTCCATAGCAACTCATTCCATCACTGTAGCCATGCAAATTTTGCCTATGTTTTCATTCTCTGCACTTTCAAGCGAAGTACTTCTTGCAAGTCTTCGCGATGCAAAAGAAACAAAAAAATCGTCTTGTTCTTCGTTCAGTTCAGGTTCAGCGGTCAGAGTTGGTCGGACATAGATGAACTTATTACATTCAGCAACCAATAAACGTTTTGCTGACATAAAATCTTCATCAGAACAGATGAAATCTGCTTTGAACTTTGGCACTGTTAGTGATGCTAAAATAAGTTCTTTATTTTGTTCAGTGAACTCAAAATACTTCTCAAATCGACCAATCTTCTTGCTATTTAGTTCACCATGATTACGATCAGAGCCCACAATTACTTTCAACATTGTTGCCTTAAAATCGGATCCAATGGGTGAATTCGTTCTGTATTCTTCTATAGCATGCTTCATTGAAATTAGGACGGGCAGAATAAAACCTTGACTGCAATTATGTTCTCCTTGTAGAACGTCTAAGGCTCTTGCAACTGGACCCATAGCTTTAACGTATTCGGCGATTACAACAATATCGGTGGATGTCAGGTTTTGGAGCAGTGCTGCTGACTTTACTTCTTTTCGGAGCTGTGAAATTAGTACATTAACTTTTGTTCCTTCTGGTTGAACAGTTTCCAACATATTAATGTCATGGATTTGTGCAATAGCATCAAATTTTGAATTCCATCTTGTTTCACAAGGTGTTCGTAGAACACATCCCAAAATTTGTTTGCATATCGATTTTGAATGACTACTACGGTGCGTTTTATTCCAGAGCGATCGTAGCTTCTCATACACGGCATTCATAGCTTCTTTGGCAAGGGGTGGTAGCAGTTCGTCGAAAGAATTTGAAACCAAATTCAACATATGCGAAAAACAGCGACGTTGCGGGGGAAGTGTGATTTGGAGTTGAGGAGAATTCCCACCAAAATAACCTTCACTGCTCGTAGGAGTTTGGTTTTGCGAATCAAAGTCCAAAATATCACTGGCAAATAGTTCACCCGTTTCATTTCATTAGACAGCAGCGAAGGAGAGCAGTAGCAATAAAGACGCAATAATTATAAGCACAACCATTCCGTTTTCATTACTTTCACCATTACAACTCTGCGAACAGGATTGAGCAAAATTATTCAGCCGAATTATTCAGTTTATTCAGTTTATTGGCATCAATTTATTTTTTTGCGTTGATAATTGGAAGTGATTTCGTTGAGAATTGAATTGATTGCATCGTCGAAATTGGCTTAGGAACGAACATTGGACACACATTGTTCACGTTGTTATGGCATGAAAATTCGTCTTTTCATTTTTGTTGAGTATTTAATAAAATTGTCATAGCATGTAAGTGAACAAGAGAGCGACACGAGCCAAGAGAAAATGAGCACAAATAAAATGTAAAAGGGAGGGACATGAGCCAGGACATATATGCAATGAATGTAAACAAACAAAATGTATTGAGAGCGACACGAAGCATCGTACTAGATTAGACAATTAAAACTGCGATAAAAATGAGCTATGAGCGCCGTGAAGCGGCAGGTAAAATTATTAATGAGCTATCGACGTCAAATCACCGGTGTCGAACTGTCACCTGCTCTCGTTCTTCTCACGCTAACCACCACAGCAGTCGGACGTGTGAAGCACATTTTTCAAAACGGGACCAGGTGATACCGTAAGTGATCAAATTGGCACAAAATCGTTAACGGCTTCTACAATTGTAGAAAAGAGTTAAACTAATCTGACACAATTGTCAGTGGTTTTTGTATTACCCAATCAGCTTGAGCGATTATTGCCGATCGATAGACGTAAATCATCGAGCCGCCGAAGGAATTTTACCGAGTTAAATCGAAAAGCAAACCGAAGGCACGGATTACGGCCCAAGACAACAACAACGACAAAGGCTGGCGCCTAGCCAGGCAGCCACAGCAACGACGAGTAATCGAAGCATCAACCGGCAGCAAAAATAGCTAGAATATACGCTCAAAGTCGCTCTCGTCCGCTAACTGATTCGAAAATAAAATTCAGAGTAAAATTAGGTTCATGTTCTTTGGTATAAATCATTTGTGTATGTCGTGTCGCGAGAGGTTGGTATGGTCATTTTTCCAGATACTACTTTTGAACCCAAACAACGTGCATTCATCATTGTATTCAGCCGTTCTGTTAATTTCATCGGATTCGCAGAGTCTTTTTAAGCGTCAACCAGAATATTCCGATTTCTTCCGATGAAAATCAAATTGTGATTGAAAGTTCAGCCGCCGGTAGTGTCACCGATGCAGTGTCTTCAGCTACGATTTCTTCAGCCGAAACCCAAGTTGTTTCAATTGCTTCCGAAATGAGAAGTGTTCCGAATTCTTGAGTTGAAAAGCAAATTGCCGTTACGAGTTCAGCCGAGTCATTGACGGTTGCAACGAGTCAACCCATTCCTATTGTTGCCGATGAAAGCAATATCGTGATTGAGAGTTCAGCTAACGCATCGACGATTGTGAGTCAAAGCATTCCGATTATTGCCAACAAAACCGAAAGCGAAAGTGTGATTTCGAATTCATCGACGGTTGCTACAAATTCCGAGAGTGATACCGAAATTAATTCAGTTTTAGTCAACCGTGAAGCCATTGATTCAGCCAAAACGAATATTGCCACCGTCATCGAAACTTCAGCTATTGAAACGCCAATCATGAGTGCTTCCGTGAAAACCGTTACATCTTCGGCAAATGTTCAGCAAAGTTGGTCGCAAATTGTGAATGACGACCAAAATCAGTCGATTGTTCAGGCAACCCAGAAGCAAATCGTTAAGAGTGATTCCGATAATGAGCAACGCATTCACGAGCAAGATTATGTGAAAGATTCCGATATTGAGCAATGCATTCAGAGTGAGAAGGACAAATTGAAGTCGTACGCATCGAAAATTGACCGTTTATGCAAGGAATTGTCGATAATTGAACATCAGCAAGAGATTGCGAAATTGAATTTGAGCCTTTTGGAAGTGACTTTGTCAGAAACGAATTCCGAGTTTGACCCTTCAACAACCAAAACAGCCGCTTCAAGTGGCAAATCGACCAACACCTCCGTTCCGAATCGTAAGCCAAGTGAGAAACCGATTCAGAAATTGTCTAACACATCAAGTGGCTCACAAAATCAGAGCATATCGGATGTTCAGTGCTTTAATTGCTCAGATTACGGTCATTACTCAGCAAATTGCACCAAGAAGCGCCGTGTAAAAGGTTCCTGTTTCAATTGTGGATCATTGCAACATATTCTGAAGGATTGCCCATCGAAAGCGAGCACCAGTGGAGCCCGTTCAGCCAACCAATTCCGACCGTACAGATTGACAAAGAACACCGTTCAGCACGATTCCGATTCAGAGTGGAGCAACTAGCTAACCAATTCAGATTTTCGTAATTTTTTTACTTTTTTTTGGGTGTCCACCACAGTTCCTAGGGAAATAATTTATAACGGTTATGTAATAATTTCTAGCTGTAATAATTTCTAGGAACTATTTCCCATTAATCAGTAATAATTTCTAATTTGTTGAATTAATTTCTAATTTCAAAATTTGGTGAATTAATTATTAGAAATAAATACATTCGTAATAGTTTCTAGAAATTAATTGGAGCAAGGAATAAAACAGCCAAAAAAGCAGAGATTACTATGAGATATTTTTATTCATATGGGATAGAAATATCGCATAAAAATATCAGATATTTTTCATGCGTCGCGTTGTTGTAACGCATCTGCAGTACAAAATTCATATTCCCTCCTGGGAGCCAAGTCGAATTTGATACTGATCCGAGCTGAATTCAGCAAAATTGACTTGGCTCCCAGGAGGGAATATGAATTTTGTACTGCAGATGCGTTACAACAACGCAACGCATGAAAAATATCTGATATTTTTATGCGATATTTCTATCCCATATGAATAAAAATATCTCATAGTAATCTCTGCAAAAAAGAGATTAATGGGGACAGAGCAGCACAATGGAATTTGTGGCCATGTGGCTCTGCCTAAGTTAATTTTTTTTGCTGTTTTATTCCTTGCTCCTCTACTTCTGAATATTCACGAGAATATTCTCTATTTGCCGATGGTGACAATTGCTCTTTTGTACCTCTATTCATTGTAGATCGTGGTACGAGAAAGAGAGGGAGAGTTGACGTCGACAATCTTTTTGTTTCATCTAGTGCATTAATTTTTTTCTCCAAAGCTGGGAGTATTCTAACTTGGTTAATTTTGGGGCAAAAACAATTTTAAAAAAATATTCTTATTCCTATATTTTCTATGTTTTACTTAAGAAAAGCGAATACGCCTAATTAGAGAGCAATCAAATCCATTGTTTAAAAGTGTCAACCATATATCTAATTTGATAAGATATTGATTTATTTTGTCAAATTTTTGTTGATCGACCGATTGTGGTAGATTTTTTATTACTGAAAAACACAAAAATAGTAGAGGATACCTTAACAAATAAAAATGCCATTTGAAGCAATTTGATACGACGCACAAAGGCTTTTTCAAATGATGCCTGCCTATAGGCGGTTGTATGCACTGAAGGGTTAATAGAAATAAAATTCACGTTGTTTGGAAAAAGATTGATAATGATATAGTATGTAAATATTTTCTACGAACTTTTTGGACAACAAAGTTCTAATAATCGATAATACAAACGGTTTGTTGAAGAAGAAAATAAAGCGAAAAAACGAAAATTCAATGAAATCATTCAGAATGAATAAAAGAAAAATAAGACACATTTTCTGGTGTTCGTAAGGTACCGTTCATTTATAACGTAAGCAGAGATTTCTGAAGAAAGATAGACTTCGGTCTTTAAAGTTTTGAAGAAATTTTTGGTGAATTCACAGATACTGCTCAACATCAGTTGAAATTCCAAATATAGCTTAAAAAAGCCGAAAAGAAGTAAGAAGAAAAAAAAATTAAGGCAAAAGAAAACGATTTTGATTATATTTATGGCGTTATGTTCATTGGTACCGTTATATGAAGAGAACACTATAGATAAATAAAATATTGTTATTTGCAAATTTTTCTTGCTCCTCTACTTCTGAATATTCACCATTTCATTGTAGATCGTGGTACGAGAAAGAGACGGAGAGGTGGAGAAGAAGGCGTCGACGACGACGACGTTGAATTGGTCGTAGCAGTGGTACAAAATAGTAGGGCACAGAGAAAAACAAACAAGAATAAAACGGCTACTGTGTCAGGTGACAACTGTTTGTTGTTTATACACATCTTAAAAAATAACGATATTTTGACACACCGAACGACTCAACCCATTTTTCGACTTTTTAAAAAATAAGTGAATCGTCCTCTACTTAGGTGATATTGAATTGACTGAAACAAGTGGTGCTGTGAAAGATCGATGTTTCGGGATATTGTTTGATATGCTTTAATCTATCTATTAAGGTCTATTCTTCATAATCAGTGTCCACTCGACACAAGAATAATCCTTTTCTCACATTTTCTCCTTGGCAAATAGAGAATATTCTCGTGAATATTCAGAAGTAGAGGAGCAAGAAAAATTTGGGCCTTTTTTCCAAAAAATACAGCTCCCACAACTTCTTTACAACTGCGAAAAACAATGAAAAAATGTAGAAAAATATAGAAATAGTAAAAAAATACATATTCTCTATTTTTTCATATTTCATCGATTTTTTCGTGTTTTCAAATCCGAAAACGATTGGAAAATCATCAAAATTCAATGAATCTCGTATATTGAGTGTTTACGCTGAATAGTTGTCTCATTTTTCTGATTTTTTTTCGGATGGGTCAACTTACAAAATTGGTTGACATTTCAATATGCACGGAAAGAATTTTGCCACGTAATGATATGTGTGATCTGACTTCGGATTATGAAAATACACGAAAAACTAGTAAAGAAAGCTTATACTCGCTTTGCTGATATCTTTGAAATTGTCTACTTGATAATGGTCCGAAAAAATTTAGTTTTTATAAAAATGATTTTTTTTTGCAAAAAATTTTTATGAGCCGATCCGAGCCGTTTTAGAAGCGTATTCACTCTTGGGAACTACTTTTATATTGGTTTTTGATGTTTCTAAATCGATTGAGACTAGCCAAATTTACGATTTGTAGGTCAAAATACAAAATCCGCGGGGTGGGTCAACTTACAAAGTGGGTCAATCTACACATACTCCCCCTAATACCATTTATGATCATAAAAAATGTTATTTTCAGATGTGTCATGAATTATTTTGAACATATTTATTTCTAATAATGATAGAAATTATTTCGTTGTTGTTTTACAGAGTCACAATTAATTGGTAATAATTTCTAATGCAATAATAAATACATTAATTTCTAGGAATTATTTCGATGTATTTATTTCTAATAATTATTTAGTTAGAAATCATTTCATTAGAAATTATTTCGACAAGCTTATGAATTATTTCCCTAGGAACTGTGGTGGTCGTCCATTTTTTTTCAGCGATTACACAGAGGCTCGAAACAACATTATCATTAGATTTCGACGTGTAATAATTAAATTCAGTTAATTAATTTGTTTTCCTTTCAGTTCAGATGAATTTTTTAAGATATAATTTTAATTTTCTCAGATTGACTTGAGAATAATTTTCAGAAATGTTTTTTTGTTAGTTAAGAAAATTTCGGATTGCATTCAGATTCATTTTAAATTGATTAGGAAAGTGATTCAAACATTAATTCAGACATTTTATTTTTTTCAGTTAAGCGAATTTATATTAATAGTTATTTCAGAAATTGGTTAAGTAAATTAAGTTAAGTCAGATTCAATTCTAATTCCGAAAATTTTACGCACATAATTCAGAAATGTTACTTTTGGTTAAAAAATGTTATTTTTTTTAGTTAAGAAAATTTCGTATTGCATTCAGATTCATTTTATTGATTCGGGCATACTTCAAGTTAAGCAAATTTTAAATTGACTTTGGTTTCAGAAATTTTGTTAAATGAATTTTAGATTAAGTCAGATCAAATTTTAATTCCGAAAGAAATTTATTTTTACATTGAAATATCCATAGGTGTAACGAATAAATAATAAGTAATAAAAGATTTTATTACTTATTCATTTTATGTGATTATTCATTTATTCGTTATTCGTTCTTACTCGCGAATAAGAACGAATAATTATTCATTTATTCATGCAAGAAACGAATAAGAAATGTAATAAAAATTGAATAATATATGAAACGAATAAGAAGTGAATAAGAAACGAATAAGAAGTGAATAAGAAACGAATAAGGAAACGAATGAAAATTGAAAAAGAAGTTGTAAGAAGTAATAACTATTACAACTTATTCACGAATAAATGAATAATTATTCGTTCTTATTCGCGAATAAGAACGAATAACGAATAAATGAATAAATATGACAAAAGTAATAAGTGAATAAAAAAACGAATAATTATTACAAAAATTAACACCTATGGAAATATCGCACATAATTCAGTCATTTTGAATTGCACATTTGATTGGGACAATCAAATTTAAAAGGTTCCGAAGTGAAGAGGACCAAAGCATTCAAGTGCTATTAAGATTAAGTGTTATTAAGTTGAAAGAAACATTGTGATTAAGATTGCGAATTGATATTGTGGATTAAGAAATAATAATTGAACATTGTAATAGTGATAAGAATTCTTCTGAAAAAAATTAATTGATTGAATCATTGTGATCGGGACGATCAATTGAAAAAGGGGTCGAGCTGTAATAGGCTTAGAATAAGTGTAAAGCCGCCTTAATAGTCCCTTCAATATTCAGTAGTAGCTATGTGTCGTTCACAGAGTGAGAAACCAGAGAAACGTCAAGTGTATTCATTAAGTGTATTGTATGCGAGAGGAGTCGTTAGACAGCAGCGAAGGAGAGCAGTAGCAATAAAGACGCAATAATTATAAGCACAACCATTCCGTTTTCATTACTTTCACCATTACAGCATATACACTGTATCGCCTAGCGATATTATGTTTGGATTTTGTGTTTCACAATTAGTGCCAATACCGTCGTAAAATTTACAAATTTTCTTATTTTCTTCATAAAATTGGCAAAACTGGCCAAATTTGTATGGGAGGTACCCGTAAATCGTTTCGATTGGTTCCAAAATTTCAGGGATTGAGTTTTTTGGTAAAAAAATAAGATCCAGAAAGTTTCATGACGTTTGGAATATCACAAATGGGATTTCTATTGGGATTTTACTTTCATGGTTTCATAAAAAAAACTCATTTACCTATCTAAATCTTGTGCTGACCTGAAATCCCCATAAACAAGCCACAGATATGGCTTTCGGTGCTTCATTTGAAACTGGTTAGAAGTTTTGGATGGGCAGACTGTCGAAAAACGGAATTTCCCAAAACAATTCACCATAATGTGAAAGTGAAATACTGAGGG